ATAAAAAGGGGAACTGAGCTCGGTGTGGAGATGAACAACCAGCTTCTCATAACCATGTGCTATGCCCACTCCCTTTAGATTCTTCAGGGCTCCTCCTTATCTGTGCCACGAATCTTGTATCCCAACATCTTACTGGAATTGCTATGTCTAGGTTGGGTAGCAGGGACTTGAACTTGGGGAATGGGAATGAAGACAAGAGGACAGGTGTGAGAGTATCTGGAAGGGCTGGTCACTGCTCAAAAGTGGGCAGGGTAGGAAGAGAGGAGAGGCAGAGTAGACTGTAATACTTCAAACTCAGGAGAAGAGGAACAGATAATGAGATGGGGGGGATATGAACAATATTACAAAGATATGAACAAGATGGTTTTGCCAATGTCTCGCCCCAACATGTTATTTATTAAGCAGCTACCACGTGCTAGGTACAAGGGGAATAATGAACGAACTCGGGTTTTGCCCTCAAAGATCACCCAGGGAAAGGAAAAGGGAAAAGCCAAAATAGCCAGATGCCAGAGCTCCTAAGTGGGGTACTCTTTCCATCACACAGCCTTAATTCAGGGAGCAACATAAAAATATACTTAAGCAACAAAATACATTTAAAGACCCCAAGACAGTTTTAAGAACTATTAATCTCTGCCAGGCCCCGTGGTTCACTCCTATAATCCTAGTACTCTGGGAAGATGAGGGAAGTGAATTTCTTGATTTAAGAGCTGGGAACAAGCCTGAGCAAGAGTAAGACCTGGTCTCTACTAAAAATAGAAAAACTAGCTGCGGGTCATGGTGGTGCCTATAGTCCCAGCAATTGGAGAGGCTGAGGTAGGAGGATGACTTGAGCCTAGAAGCTTGAGGCTGCTGGGATCTAGGCTAATGCTAGAGCGACAGAGTAAGACTCTGTCTCAAAAATACAAAAAAATAGGCCCAGTACCTATAGCTCAGTAGCTAGGGTGCCAGCCACATACACTGAGGGAGGGTTTGAGGCTAGAGGGTTTGAATCCAGGCTGGGCCAGCCAAACAACAATGACAACTAAAACAACAACAACAAAATAGCCAGGCGTTGTGGCGGGCACCTGTAGTCCTAGCTACTTGGGAGGCTGAGGCAAGAGAATCTCTTAAGCCCAAGAGTTTGAGGTTACTGGGAGCTGTGACGCCACAGCACTTTACCCAGGGTGACATAGTGAGACTCTGTCTCAAAAAAAAAAAAGAAAAAACTATTAATCTCAACTGCTGAATTATAGGCAAAGCAGAATGCAGTAAGTTCCTTGCTATAGTTCTAACCCCAAGCATTCAAATAGCTGTTCCCTTCTCATCATTTGGGTCCCAGGACAAATGTCATATAGGCCCTTCCAACAGATCACTCTATTTCAAGCGCCCTCCCCATCACATGATCCCATTTTATTTCCCTGCACTAAGAATATCTGAAATTTATATACCTGCATTTACGTGTGTGTCTGTGTATGTTTCCTTCCTAAGAACAGACGCTTCACGGAAGCCGGAAGTTTATCTTGTTAGCCACTGCCAGGCACATAAAGCCTCAGTAGGAGATACTTACTGACCACATTTTAAAAAAGAAAAAAAAGAAAGCAATAAACCTCATCTCCTTATCAAGATTAAGACCTCAAACCAGGCCACTTTCCAGCTGCTTAGGGAAACGTTCTGAAAACACAGGGGACTATAAAAACCAAAGCCATTTTGAGGCTGGGGTGGAACCCAAATCCAAAGGGTCTGCCCCAGATCTGTGGCCCGTGCCCGTTGTGCATAGATTTCGGGAGCACCCACCCGGCCACCCAGCGTGAGATGTTTGACAATGAGGCCAGCCAGCCACCGAGCTCAGGTTTTATTTCCGTTGTCCTTCTGACGTCAGAGAAAGCGCGAGTTGCTGCACAGTTTCTTCTATCAAGGTGACAAATTACAGCCTGGCTGGGCCCTGCATTCTGCAAACTATAAATTTACTCCCTCTCCCCCTTCACTGCAAAATGTAAAATCCCAGTGCAGAGCTGTCAACTCCCCTTTCCAACGCCAATGAATACCCTTCCCCAGCGGTGGCGTCCTTTTCACTCTTACTGCGTACATCACCATGGATTCCTCTGAGAAAGTGCGAGATCCTGTGGGGCAGTTAGGTTTCCAACAGAGAAACACGGTCGTAAAAACCCCAGGTCCGCTCCGCAGAGAGAGACAAAGGACTCTCAATTGTAGCACCACCTGCCCCAGCCCAAGGCAGCCTGCGAAAGTGACGCGGTACCGCGAAATCCCTTTTGCCTCCATATACACTTGGGCAGTCTTTGACCACAGTTTAGCGCAAACCCAGGGCCGGGCGACTTGTTAGAGCAGCGGGACCGCGGCAGCCGCGTGACTTGCGGAGTCTCAGTGGGTGCCGAGGAGCCCGACGCGCAGAGGGATGGATAATTTGTGGGGCGAGGGGCGCGCACCACGGTGAAGGCGCGCTTTCCTCCAGGCAGCGACCTAGCGAGTTTAAAGGCCGCCTGTGGCAACCGGCAGGGACGCGAGCGAGGTGTCGCGGATGGAGCAAGAAGGTGGGACTGGCGGCGAGCGCCAACCGCGCCCGGGCCCGCGTAAGCGGTGGCCTTTTGTTCGCCGGCACAAGTGGATTCCCGGTTCCCGGGAAAGCACTGTCTCCCTTGCCACGCTCTTCATTTTAGGTCGAACGTCTCCAGGGCGGGAAAGGACAGTAAGTCACTGCCAGCATCCGTTAGTAATTCCTCCCCGCACCCTCCCACTCTCCCTCAGAGGACGGGCTGCATGCAGGGTTCGCAAATGTGCTCCTGTTTACTAGTCTAGCTCCTTGACTCAGCTTCCTAGCCCGCCGCACCAAGCACCCTGGGGACACCACACGCTTTGCTCCCGGCCCTGCGGACACAAGAAATTCCCTCTAAAGGTCTTCGGTCCTCCCGAACGTCCCGCCCTCGCGTCTGCTGCTCTCTCCCTCCAGACCCGCATCGTCCCTGACCCTCGTTAAATGTACCCAAACCTGCCACCACGAAAACTGACCCAAAAGTAAGCCACAGCCCGCGCGAAGGTGAATTCTGAGGCCACGCCGCTTTCTCGCGCTGCCCGGACTTTTCCTTTCCGACAAGCAAAATCCAAACGCATCGCGCACAGCCGCGCTCTCCCTCCTTTCAAGCCCGCACGGAGGATTTCCACGTTACCGCCGCCTCCCGCATCTCAACCCTCCCGGGAACGGACAAGCACCTTACCTCGGAAAATAAAAGGAAAGGTGGCAAAAGGCGGTGTCCAGGTGTCCGCCCTTCCGGGATTTTTACCCCCGGCCGTTTGATGTCCTTTGTGTCAAGGTCTGGCTGCGGCTGCCGGGGAAAAGTGGCCCCCGTCAGTTGGGGCTGGGCGGGGAGACTTGGCTCCGCGTGGCAGATTTCCGAGGAAGGTGAAGGGCGGAGGTTCCCAGCGACCTTCAGGCGGAGTGGCGTGGCTGCCCCAACCCGCGCTCGCCTGGCTCTCCTCCTCCTTTCCGGGCCGACTGCATCAGAATCTCCCCCCACCACCAACCCCCACCCACATCCTGCTCACCAGCCTCTTACTCACATCGACATGCGCGGGCGCTGAGGGTCTCGAAGCCTAGACATCCTCCTACCGGGGGCCGCGTGGCCCTTCCGCATCCATGGCTCGTGATGGTTTAAAGCGGAATAGTCAGGCCATTCCTCCCGGTGCCGCGACTTCTCCCCTCCTGCGCGCCCGCTCTTTAACCAAAGCTGCGTGTCACTGAGCCGTGCCCCGTCACATGGTGTCACTGCTGGCGGCCGCGCCTTGCTGCCTCCCTCTCTCAGCTCCCGACGATGCGGCGACCGCAGCTGGCGGAGATTGACTAGCGGGGAGGGGTTGCGGGCCGCGCGCGTGACGGGCTCAGTGGAGGTGGCACCGGGCAGGAGCGGAGGCTGCGCGCTACCGGGGCACCTGCCCAGCGTCCCCCTGGGACCGGGTGGCGTGCTTAGGACCCAGCTGCGGTGGCAGCTGTAGAGTGGGAACCCTTAGGGATGGCTGTGGGGCGGCCAAAGTGCCACCGGCGGGGGAAAGGAGGGCCGAGCGCTTCAGGAGGGGCTGCATTTGGGGCACAGCCGGAGCCCAGCCGGGGCCGAAAAAGCGAGGGGAGTTGCATTGTGGGTAGGGCGCAGCGTGAGGGTGGCCGCGGGAGTGGCTGGTCCCAGCGCAGCCCCGAGAGCCGCAGGCAGCACCGGCGGATGCCTGCAGCGATGGAGCGGTGTGTTGGCTTCGGGGACCACACACAGACGGCCGAGGGTTGGCGGAAAGGGGACCAAAGCGCCGGGGGAGCGGGGCGAGCGGACACCTTGGGAAATCCTTTGTCCCCAACCCGCAGCGGGTGGCGCTTCCCCTCTTCCGGATCCAGTACCCGCAGTCCTCGCCAGCCTTTCCTAAGATCTGCTCTGTTGGAGCTCGGTTTAGGGGACTGAGTGTGACGCGACCAGAAGGATTTGCTGAGCTCCCAGCACGCACCTGCCTAGGCGCGAAGGGACTGGGGCCAGCTCTTGCAGGGTCCGAAGACCCCACGTGATTCCGCCCCAAGGACACGACGCATTGGGGTTGACCGAGCTGGGAGACGGTGGGGGGCGAGTAGGAGGAATGGAGAAAGGGGGCAGGAACAGCCGGGCCATTCCCTCTCTGCTGCTTACTCTTTGTTTCAGACACAGCCCCTTTTAACTGGGCACTTCTTGCGGAGGAGTTGTGTCTCCTTAAAATGGCGACAGGAAATCCCACCTGTGCGTCACGCAATTAGACTGTCATTATAGCGCGAATTTGTGGGGTGGAAACTCGAGCTTTTGTTGACAGCGGTGGTTCAGTCTCCGTGTTTCATCAAAATGGGAAAGGGAAGGTGAATCATAATTCAAAAATTATTCTACCTGGAGCGTTCCAAGCCGGCACACTGAGCAGTCACAGTAATGGAGCGGCTGTCACCTCCGGAAAAGAGAGCCTCCAACCACATTTACACGCCTCCTAACTGCCTAAAACTCTTATTCCCTTCGCATGGCAGTATATAGTCTTTATTAGCTCAGCAGTGGCTTCCTGAGAACTCTATTTGGAAGGCAAGCTCTTGAATACATCTGAGAAACGGGAAGGTCAGTGCAAGCAGGAGGGGCAAAAAAGACCGACCTGCGTTCACGTTCTTCTGAAACTACTGCTCCCCTACCGGCTTAGGTTTTGTCCTAGTCCTGTTTTCCCAATTTGTAAAAAAGAGAATAATAGTTCACACAAGATAGGAGCTTTCTTTAATTCATCCCAAGGCTAGTTCTTTCTACCTAACTTACCAGAAGAAGCGAATTTAGCATAAAATGAATGATTTGAAGAGGTGTCTGGCACAAATACCTCTTCTGAATAAGGTTATAAATCTGAAAAGGTGATGTAAGTAAACTCTGAGCCATAGCTCACTAGGCCTGTGGAAATGTTTATTAAAGGCAGAATGTGTATTCATCAGTGTCTGTTTAAAGAGAACCCGACGTCAAGCTTATCTTTTGATTTGGGTTTTAGCTTAACTTGCTGGCTCCTACATGCTGGAAAGACTGTGGTTACCTCGCACTTTTTGAATTGGATCAATAGTTATGAATTGAGCTCCTATTAAGTGCCAGCCACTGTACTCAGGAATACACATGTAAATGTTATCTCACTGAATCCTTTCAACCTCTCAATTAGGTATTGTCTTCTTTGTATAAGCAAGAAAGCAGGTTCAAAGAGGCTAAATGGACCTTGTTCACATAAGACGGTAATTAGTGAAGAGAGAAATGATCCCCACCCAGGTCTCAATTCAAAGTTCATGCTCAGTCTTAACCACGATGCTGCAACCATTTGCAATGAGACAGTCTTGGGAATAGAGTTTGCAAGGATCTTCATCCCTCCTCTGGATTTTAGCTGACAGCCTGGAACTGGGGTGAACATCCACGTGGACGCTGCATTGAAGGACTGTTGCTGTGTGGAGTATTAGGGTTCCGGGAGGGCTGGGGAAGGGGCAGTGTTCAGGAAGAGCTAGAAAACGTCTGTGAGTTGTTCTTCAGGACGGCTTGTAGGTGAAAATTCCTTTCAGACGTCATTTCAGTAGCTTGGTACCCTTAACCCAATTGTTGTGGTCTCACGTGGGGGTGCGGATGTCCTGATGCAGATTCCTGTATTGGCCATGCATTTACTGAGAGACAAGCCGCAGGCAGGCACTTTGCAGGTGGTCTCTCGTTTAATTCTCAAGGCATTCCTAACAGGATAGATCATCCCAGTCCGGGATTCAAAGGTTAGAAAATTAATCCCCAATTCACACTTGGGATTAATTGGCACCTCCAAGCCTTGAATCCAGAACAGACCCCAAAGCTAGTTCTCTATGGCTGGCTCTAAAATATTCCCCAATTCTGGAACAACCCTCTTTGGAGGACTAGATGGTAGCCTTCTGCTTGGAACCACTGCCCTGTTTTCAGAGACTCCAGGGAGTCAATTTGCTGTGCAATAGGTTCATGAGGCCAAAGGGCCCTGTTGATACAGCTAATGTTCTCTAGGACCTTTCCCAATTGAACAGATTTTCCAAAATGGCACTAAGGTAGTCAGGACACCGAGAAAATGTCTATATCTGCTCTGAAAGTGAGGCTGGGGAAGGACTTTATTCTGGGAAAGGAGAAGTGGGGAACTTTAGGTCACCTGGGAGTTTTCTAGTTGCCTCATAGGCTCTTGTGATATGGTTCTAGAAAGGGGGTGGGCAGCTTGTAAAGAAAGAACAATTGTACCCCCAAGAGGATTCAGCCTGAACTTAAGCCACATCTGCTCTCATCCCAGCTTCACCCTGTACTCACCTGGGTTGCACTTGCTCCACATTTGGATTGGCCAATAGGACAGCTGCTGAAGGGGCCACCACCAGCTGTGTGCCTATAGAGAATACGGGCTTTCCTCCCTGGGGTTTAAATACATCTGGTCAGATAGCAGCAGTCTGCTTGTGTAAGAATTTTGAATAATAGGATCAAAACTATTTTCTGAGTATACTTTTTTTTTAACCTATAAAGGACTGTCATAGAACAATCTGATTTTTAACACTGATGAAAAAATAGGAAAGTCAGCTGGTGAGGTTATTTCAGAAGACATGCCTTGCACATTTCCTACTTGTAACAAAAGCAGTACAGCCATCAAATGAAGAAATCCTACCTCATTAGAAAATAAGCTGTTTATTCTGAAATGAGTAGTTTATTCCTATTTATAGGGTCTGCCCTAAAACAACAAATGCCCTGTAAAATTGTTGCTTTTTCTTGACTGGTTAATCACATTTCTTTGCCTGATTTACTCTCATCCTCGATATCCTTTGGATCTCATCCACAGATAACAGTATGTTGACACTAGAAATTAGTGAAGTGGCCACAGCAAAGAGTAAATTTTCAGTTAGAGGAGCCCCCAGATTGTCTGGTCCATCCTTCTGAAGATACGTGGCACTATGTATCCTCACCCTCCTCAGTGGGCAGCATGTGACAGGGGCCATTGTCACCTCTTCCAGCATCATGGTGAACATGTGATCTCACCAGATTTGTGATTGGTTCTGTCAGGAGGTCAGCCATGCCCACTAACTCTAAACTGAATTTAAATTAAAATCCCACAATGAGCCACTTAAAAAATGTCTGTTGTCTCTGATTTTGGCCTGGGTCAGCTTTGTAAGGTCACATACATTTTTTTTTATTGAATGGTAACTATGTACATTAATGCACTTCTGGGGTACAGTGTGGGGTTTTCACATGCAATCCGAAATACTTCCATCAAACTGGTCAACACAGCCTTCATGTCATTTTCTCAATTATTCTACTCTTAGAAAGATTCACTTGTACCCCTGTAAGATAAACCTCAGAAGTGATCCCTCCAATCCTCCTCCCTCCACCCATTCCCCCCTCCATCACATACATTTTTATCTGTTAGGGGTGATGGGAGTGGAGTCCATTAGGTATTGCAACTATATGACAATACTTTCACATCCATTCACATTAACAAAGAACCCATGGGCTCGGCGCCTATAGCTCAACC